AAGTTGCTTCACATGATTTGTATGTGGTCTATCTTTTGAAATATTTTCTTGAACAATTTCTAATGTAGAATTTGGAGTAATCATGGAATCATCAACTTTAACTTCCTTGGAAATTTGGCTTGAATACATGCCCACAATGTTGTATATAATTGTCCAAATATAAATGGATCCTATCTGATAAAAAAAATAGTTCGATATAAATATTGATGGACCCGAAACAAGAGTTTATATTCTTAGATCTGAATTCAATATTGAAAATGCAGAAATATAAAATCTCTTAAGAGAATTTTACATTTTAACGAGATTCTACTTGATTCTAACACTACTTTGTGTTGAAAATACACAATTCACATAAAAAATTATACATTTATACACATTGAATATTAGTTAACCCTAAAAAATTGTATATAAATTTCAAAAGTTTCGAATTAGTATCATACCGCCATAGATAGAGCAGCATAACCAAGTGCATTTTTATGACAAATATCCGCATCTCCAAAAGGGCTACCTTTTTGTTTACAAACCGCTGGAACAATAATCAAAGGCAAATTTCCAAGATTTCCTACACATATTGAACCAATTTAATCGTGAAATCTTCCTTTATCCATATACAAAAATTAGAAATTCAGATCGCATGCGATCAACAATTTCATATCGTCAATGCATCAATTAAAATCAAATCATTGAAATTTCAAAATCAAAATATAAACCATCTCTCTTAATTCCACTCATATAAATAATTGCAATTACCTGCCGCACAACATCCTAAAACAAGACCATGAAGATGATGAGGAACTCTAATCATTTTAACAAGTAACAATCCAAGAACAATTCCAACTATAAATGCGAGAAGAACATTCAATGGCATGAACCACCTACATAATTCAACAAATTAGACATAGATTTTAATACAACAATTTTTCTTTTGTTGTAGTTTTAAAAAAGAAACTTACAGGATATGCAAGCTCTTTGAAGTTATTGTTTGAGCTAGGCTGCCACACACAAGAGCAGGAGAGAACACAAAAAATATAATCTACGCCGGAAAAAAAAAAGAATGATGTAAAAGATTATCATAAAATAATTTTTTCATATTCTTTTTTATAAAGAAACAATAATACATGAAAACTTCAACTATTTCAAAATTTCATTGATGTCTCAACCAACATAGTCAATTCATTGCATGAGTTTTTTGCTACCAATTCATAATAACTACTACCAAAATAATAGGTCTAATAAACTTACAGTATTCAAGTTTCTTCTTGAAGTTTCTTTACTGAGTATATCAAAACGATCAAGTGCAAGAAATATTCCAAGAACAGTCATCAACAAAACCTTAACAATTGGCATTAATGCAACAATAAAAAGCTTCCAGAATTCCATTTTATTACTATCCTGTTGCATGAAAATTATAACTTAGGTTATTTTTTCTTTTCTTCAAAGTAACATATAAATTAAAAGAGAAAGATAAACAATGTTGATTACCTAATGATGCTCTTTTTATGAAGGACTAGTTGTTTGTAACAAGTATAGTGAGAGAGATATGAAAAAAAATATAGCTTTGGAGTATGAAGAGTTGCTTATATATATAGTTGTATTATATGAACACTATGTGAAGAAATCAAATTCACATGCAAACTATCAATGACGGCACGTGTTAAATTTCTACTGAAAACTTTCTTAACTTTCATTTTTCTCTCATACTCCTACTTTTTCACTCAACATTTCATTCTTTTCTTTAAAAAAAAACTTTGTTTTTCTTTTACATTTTTTTTCTGTTTTCATTTCATTCTTTTTTTTCTCTTTTAAGAGTTATTAATTTATTTTTGTTTTTTTAGATATATCAACAATGCAACTAAATAAACAAAATAAATTCATTAAAAAATAGAAAATCTAAATAAAAATAAAACAACTACCGTTAAAAAAAATTTCAAAAGTTATATATAGATAAATCTAATTCATTTTGTTTTTTAAAAATATATTATTGTTTTCATTATATTTGTAAAAGAAAGCCTTTTTTTTTCAAAAAAAAATTATAATATACAAGTAGACAAAAATAGTTGCATATATATATATATATATATATATATATATATATATATATATATATATATATATATATATATATATATTATATATATATATATATATATATATATATATATATATATATATATATATATATATATATATATATATATATATATATATATATATATATATATATATATATATATATATATATATATATATATATATATATATATATATATATATATATATATATATATATATATATATATATATATATATATATATATATATATATATATATATATATATATATATATATATATATATATATATATATATATATATATATATATATATATATTTTTTTAATTACTAATAAATAGATATATTATTATACTAAATTTTTATTAGTGTATAAATATGTACAATGTTTACGACATATTTAACTAATTTTATTTATTTATTATTATTAAAAATACTGGTTAATTAATTTTTAAAATTTAATAAAATTAATAATAAATTTTATCAAATTTAATAACACTTAATAGTCGTGCACACAACTAAATTATGTCACTATCAATAAAATATCTATTTATTTTAATTAACAATTAATTTTATTTTAGATATAAAATTTTTAATTTTAAATGTTAAAAATTTTCTTTTTTCTTCTTCATTTCACGAGCCTTTTTTCTCTTCTTTTTGTATAGTTATTTAATATAATTAAGTTTATATTATCATTGTCTATTTTTCATTTTATCATAATACTTAATAATCGTGCACACAACTAACTTTTATTTGAGATACAAAATTATTATTTTTCAAATGTCAAAATTTTCCTATTGTTTCTTTCTTCATTTTACGGGTCATTTTTTTCTTTTTATTTAATTATTTAATACAATCGAGTTTATATTATTATTGTTTATTTTATAATTAAGTAACTCATTATATTTCACACACACACTACATACACACATAATTTATACTATAATAAATAAATTTATCTGTGCTAATAGTGTAACTTAAGTTATTTTATACACACAAATTATATCAGGGGTCCCTATAAATATGTTAACCTTTAATTTTAGTTCCTTTAAAATTTTCATTCAAACAATGGTCCTCACAAACTTTTCCATCCCTAAAAATGGCCTCTCCCATTAATTTCCACTAACGGAAGCTTATGTGTCATGCCAAATGTGTATTTTTCTTTGACACGTAGAATTATTATTAAATTAATTATTTTGTTTTATATTAAAGACATATGATGAACCCTAATTCACATGACATTCCTCTTCATTCCTTTCATTCGTCTTCGTCTTCTTCACATGCCATGCATTACTACTTCATCTTTGTCTTTTTCTTCTTCTTATGTGAATCCTAATTTTATATCATTATTCTTCGAGTTATTCAACTACACATCATTTTCATCATTAATTGATATTATGTCTTTTTCATCCAGACGAATCAAATCAGCATCGTATCATTCCACAAGTGTCAACAACCATAGAAGGAGAAGGTGTGAGTGTAATGCTCATATAATACCATACCATTGCAATAACGAACGTAATAAAGGGAGACTCTTTTAGAGATGTCCATTTTGAAAAAATGAGGAAACTTGCAATTTATTCATATGGGTTGATGATATTGCACAAGGAAACAATATTTATGAAAGTGTAGATGAAGAATGGAGAAAAGATGATACCAAGATGAGGGAGATGCAAGTTGTTGAAACTTTGAAGGAGTTGTATGAATATTCATTGAAGAACAAGAAATTGAATATCAAGATGAAATCAGAGGCATTTTCTGGAAGCTGAAGTCAACATGTCTTATATTTTCGTTTATGGTCAACATGTACTTTTTATTCAAGTGTAAATGTTGAAATCCTTTTTTATTTTTATTCTAAGTTTGTAATGCTGTTTGATTGATGCTAAATTTCTGGATTATGTAACCATCACTTATGTAATGCAGCTTATAATCTAGTTTTATTGATTTTGTATGTTTCACTTGGTATAGTTTAATTGCCATAATATGGTTTAATTGATTTTATAAGTTTTACTTGGTATGACATATAATTTGGTATGACCTATAATTTGATTCATTACATATGAGACCTATAATTTGGTTCATTACATATGTGACCTATAAATGGTGATAAATTATGAACTATAAATTTGCATAAATGTGACAGAAACTTCTGCATAATTTTGACATTAGGTGAACATCTCATTACATATGCAGTACATTACAATCAATACTTATCAAAATAGTAATTGACTCATTCATTGTTGCATTAAAAGACTCACTTAGATTGTTCATTAACACATCACACTTTGAGAAAAAAGGCAAAGCATGCTTACACCTTTTGAGTTTGGGAATAGCCTTCAACCATTCATAAGCACCCAAACTGACCTCCTTGATCATAAGCATTTTTGCTTCATGTGCCTAAAAAATAGTAGCCTTGGAAGCAATCATCATAAGATCCCTAAACAATGTTCCTTCTTCAAACTTCTTTTTGAAGTTAGCATATAAGTGTCTTAAATAGAATTTGTGTTCAAAACCTAGACACTCCTTTTCAAACACTTGAACCAGATCCTGCTCCAACAAAATAACATGTCATTTAGTAAAAAAAATAAAGAGCTAGCTATGAGACACGGTTAATGAGAGCCAAATTTACCTTTTGTTGGTCAGGTATGAAACACCATATGCTCTCTCCAATGTCTTCAAGCAGCAATTTAATGAAACATCTCCATAAATCTTTTGTTTTATTCTCAACAACACCAAAAGTAATAAGCAAATATTGGTCATTTGGATCTCTTTCTACAATAATTAGTAGGATACCACCATACTTCTACTTCAAATGACATTCATCTAAACCAATAAATGGTCTACATGATTTTGTCAATGCTTTATTGGTCCCATCAAAGCATATATAGTACCTCTCAAATCTTGGTTTCAAACGTGCAGCTGGAGAATTAGTGTTGATCTTGAAAGTATTTCTCGGTGAAGCCCTTTCTCAACTCAGCACCATAAGACCATAACAAGCTAAATGTTTTGCTAGACTCCCCTTCCACAATTTGTCTAGCAATCTGCCTTGCCTTGAAAGCTCTGCAACCTGGGATTTTTGTGGCATACCTAAGTCTAACATATTTTACCACCTCATTTAACTTCATCTTTGTGTTATTCTTCAACCCATCCATAATGACCTTAGCAACTCACCCAACTTTAACACTTTTGTTGAAGAATTGTCTTCCACACTTGTATTTTAAAAATAATGTTTTTATCCTAAATATTATGGAGGTTAAAACTCTACTACACAAGACTGCATAGATACTTTTTTTATCCTTACATACCATCCTACATTAATTGGCATCATTTTTTTCAAACCTCGCACCCCTACCATTCAAAATATTATGCTCTTGTATAGCATCTTTGAACTGTTCCAATGAACAAAACTCAGTTCCAACCTTGAAATTAAAATCCTTACTTAGAGATTATTCTTCATTGAACCTGATCACATATGGCCTTTCATCACAATTGTCATCATAAACACTACTATCAAGTTCATCAGTCATGTAGTCAACTTCATTAACATGTGCCTTGCCCATCTCTTCTGTGATAAACGTGTTTTTGACTGGTTCACTTGGGGCCTCACTATTAGCAATAGTTTCAGTTCTAGGTTCACCATTAACACCTACATCAACCGCTTCATCAAACCCATTCATCATCTTCTCTTCACTATCATCAAATTATACATCCCTCACAGATTCATCACTAGATTCACCACTGCATTCACTTAATTTTTCATCCTCTTCATCACATGTCTTACCCTTTCCCTTCTCTCTTATAACATACATAAAGGTAACCTCTTCTTTATTTGCTTTTGTATCACATAATATCTCAACTTCACAATTACTTCCAATGTCATACACAACTAAGTCATAAGCATCTCCAACATGATATGATTTGTTACAATTTTAATTCAAATTTAAATCTCCATTTAAATCTGAATTAATCTACATCCAGCTATCAAATAAATTACTTCACCATATTCTTAAATCAATAACAATAAAATTTGATCCAATCTTTGACCAGAGAATTTTGAAAATGGAGCAATAATGCCTTGTTGTGCAAGGTCCATATGTCGTAGCAACATGCTGCGACATTGTGTTCAACATGTTTCCCTTCTACACTTCCATACAATTTAATCAAGCTAGAATAATCTTGAACACTTGAAACACTTCTACATGTTGTTGTTTTGCAAAACGTAACCAATCCAAAGAGTTAATCCACAAGAAACTTCAATAACACCATCATTTATGGCTAGAAAACCATGTCCAACATATAAGCTTAATCCCTCAAACATGTAGATCCAAAGTCCTCTTTTTTTTGTTATAATTCAAATGTGTTATATATCAACTAAAAAGGGTCGGTCTAACGAATTTGAAGGCTAAAGGAAAAATTTAAAATAATATTTTTTAATATATATATATATATATATATATATATATATTATTGGAGCACAAGGAAGATAAAAGGCAAAAGGAATATTTACTGATAGCTTCAAAATAAGGATTTACAATGAATTACAATAACCTACTCCACTAGGCTATTTATACACACAAATTAAATCTAAAATATATCTTCTACAAAGATATAAGAAGATCTAAGATTTATATCTTCTAGCAAAGATATAAACAATCTAAAAGATATTCCTAAATATAAATCAATATCTAATTAAATATAAATTAATTCTAACACCATCCCTTAATTTATATTTACCCAAAATTGACAACACCAATTTCATCCCTTAATCCAAGATATTGATCAGTTTTGATAGCCTTTGTCAGAACATCTGCCAGTTGCTTCTGAGTGCTACAGTGAACAACCTCTATTATTCCATTCTGAACTTCCTCTTCCGTACTCACGGGTTCAGAGTCTACTAACATTGCATACTGAATAACTTCTCTTTCAGAGTCTACTTCAGTGTCTTGCAACATGTCAAACTCTGTAAATCTTCTTGGGATTCTTCTGACTCTTTGTTGCCTATGAACTGGACCTTCAGAACCTTGGACACCAGAACTTCCCCCTTCAGAAGATCTTACTTCAGAGTTTTGACTTTCTCCAGAACCTTGACTATCTTCAGAGTCTTGAAAATTCTCAGAGTCTGAATCATCATCAAAGTCAGAGCCACTACCTTTAGAAATACCATCTTCAAAAGTTGGATCACTTTTAGAAGCTCTGCCTTCAGAAGTTCCACTTTCAGAATCATGATCACTGTCAAAGACTGAATTTCCTTGAGAAGCTCCTCCTTCAGAAGGTCCATCCTTAGAGTCATGATTTCCACCAGAAACTTGATCATCTTTAGAAGTTTGTCCTCCAGAACCTACGTCTTGAGAGTTCTCTCTTCCAGAAGCATGATCACCACCAAATTCTGGATCATCATCAAAATCTGGATCAGAATCAGATTCACCATCTGACTCACCTTCAGAGTTTCCAGAGTCATCATCTTCTAACTCTTCTTCAGAAACAGAATCTTCTTCAGACTCAGAATCACCTTCGAATTTTAACTTGTCTTCAGCTTCAGAGTCATCTTCTAACTCTAACTCGTCTTCAAAAACCTCAGATTCTGACTCATCTTCAAAATCTTCAGCGTCATCTTCAAATTTTGAATCAGAGTCATATTCTGATTCTGACTCATACAAAATCACTCCTTCAAAATCAGAATAATCAGAGTCAGAGTCTTTACTAGCTTCAGAAACATGTATTTTTTACCTTTCTTCAGAAGTTCTGTCATCAAAGTCAGGACGAGATTTTTCCCAATTCCAAACTTCTGATTCCTCTATAATGACGTCTCTGCTGAACTCAACTTTGTTAATTTCTGGACAATAAAGTTTGTATGAAACTGTACTGTGATACCCCACCAGTAACATCACTTTACTTCTATCATCCAGCTTCTGTCTTCTGGCTTCTGGGACATGTTTGTAACATACAGAACCAAATACCTTCAGATGACTAACACTTTTCTTATCTCCAGTCCACTTCTGAATAGGAACTATTTCCTTTAATTTCTTTGTTGGACATCTGTTGAGCACATAACATGCAGTTGCAACAGCTTCTCCCCACAGAGTATGAGGAAGCTTCTTCTCTTTCAGCATGCTTCTCACCATATCTAGCAAAGTATGATTTCTTCTTTCAGCAAGACCATTATGTTGAGGAGTATATGGAGCAGTAACCTCATGCTCAATTCCATTATCCTCACAGAAACTTCTAAATTCTATGGAGTTATACTCACCACCACCATCAGTTCTGAGAATATTCAGAGTCTGGCCACTCTGATTCTCAGCCTTCAGTCTGAACTTTTTGAATTCAGCAAACACCTCGTGTTTGAACTTTATGAGAGATACCCGTGTCATTCTGGTGACCTCAACAACAAATGACACAAAATATTTATTCCCTCCAGTCGATGCTACTGGAAACGGACCGCACACATCAGAATGTACTACTCCCAAGGCATGTTTTGCTCTTGGAGCTACTTCTGATGCAAAGGGTAATCTTGGTTGCTTCCCTTCCATGCACACCTTGCATGACTTTTCAGGCTTCTCGATTATAGGAATTCCATGTACCAGATTCTTTGATTTCAGATGCCCTAAACTTTTGAAATTCAGATGACCAAATCTTCTATGCCACAACTCACTCTCCTTGATAACACTTGTTGCACTAAGACATTCAGAGTCTGCAGTTCTAACATTCACCTTGAATGTTCTGTTCCTTCCCTGTTCTGACTCCATAATTAGCTTCTGATTACAATCATACAGCTTCAGAAGATTGTCCTTCATGGTAACTGAAAAACCTTTCTCAACCAGTTGTCTCACACTCATCAGATTGGTTTTCGTGCCAGGTACATATCAAACATTCTGGATCACAGCTGCTTTCCCATTATTTAGAATGATTCTGACATTTCCCATACCTTCTGCATTGAGGTATTTGTCATCAGCACATCTGATCTTTATACTCTTCCTAGAGTCAAAGTCAACCAACCACTTCTTGTTTCCAGTAAGATGGTTTGAACACCCTGTGTCCATATACCACCATTCTGATGAATTCAGATCATCAGGTTCAGAAGCCATCAATAGCACAGGTTCATCATCTGAATCTCCTCTTGCTATATTTTCTTCTTCTGACTTCCTTTCTTTGTTAGACCAGCAATCTCTGGCATAGTGACCATAGTTCTTACAATAGTAACACTGACAATTCCTTTTGTCAGACTTCTCCTTTCCCTTCTGGACATTCTTCTGCCTATCTGAGTTTGAAGCTTCTGACTTTTGACCACCATTAGTCCTCTTCCCGGCTTCTGACCAAGTCTTCTTCTGATGCTTCTTACCAGAAGTTACTTTCAGAGCCTGCTGCTCTACTGCCCTCTCAGAAGTTCTTGCAGTCATACACAACTCATGCGCCTCAAGACTACTTTGCAGCTCTTCAACTCTCATGATGCTCAGATTTTTGGAATGTTCAATTGCTACAACAATGTAATCAAACTGAGAAGTTAAAAATCTCAGGATCTTCTCAATAATTACTTATTCAGACAGAGTTTCTCCATAAGCTTTCATCTCATTAGTAATCAGAATCACTCTAGAGATGTATTCAGAAACCTTCTCGTTGTCCTTCATGTTGAGATTCTCATATTGCTTTCTGAGAGACTGAAGCTTCACCTTCTTCATTGACGCGTCACCACCGTAACATCTGACCAGTGTGTCCCACGCAGCCTTTGATGTTTCAGAATCAACAATCTTCTCAAACACATTCGCATCCACGCATTGATGGATGTAGAACAACGCCTTTTGATCTCTCTTCCTCAGCACCTTCTGTGCTATCTTCTGGTCCTCTGTTGCATCTACTCCTAACAGATTATAGCCATCAGTAACAAGATCTAACACATCTTGAGAACCAAATAACACGCGCATCTGGATCTTCCAACGATTCTAGTTTTTGCCATCAAATACTGGAAGCTTGGAATGAATATCGTTGTTTCCGTTCATCTTCTACCTTGTGCAATTTACGCAGAAACTCAATGAAAAAACAATGTTTCCCAAATTCAGAGTTTCTAACCAGGAGTTCTAGATACCAATTATTGGAGCACAAGGAAGATAAAAGGCAAAAGGAATATTTACTGATAGCTTCAAAATAAGGATTTACAATGAATTACAATAACCTACTCCACTAGGCTATTTATACACACAAATTAAATCTAAAATATATCTTCTACAAAGATATAAGAAGATCTAAGATTTATATCTTCTAACAAAGATATAAACAATCTAAAAGATATTCCTAAATATAAATCAATATCTAATTAAATCTAAATTAATTCTAATATATATATATATATATATATATATATATATATATATATATATATATATATATATATATATATATATATATATATATATATATATATATATATATATATATATATATATTGTATTAATTTTATATACTCTTTGAGCCACATAATAAAAATAGGAAAATATTTAGATACAACTTCATAGGTGTGGTTCATACTTTTCTCCAATAAAAGTATGATAAATATACCAAAATATCTTTTAAGGAGTAAAGATATAAAGAAATTGTATATGTGTATGAGAAAATTATACACTTGTCATATTTTCAATGGAGAAAAGTATAAACTACACCTAAGGACTTAAGTTTTTTCCATTAAAATAAT